TAAAATAAATACTGGACCGGTTACTTTACATCTTTGCTACAGTTGAAAACACAACATCGCAATACGTTGATCTTTATGCAGATAAATATGTATTATTTATGATTTTATTGCACATACAATTAACAGGCAATTTGATTTGATGTATTATGTCAACCTAAGTCGACTGTGTAAATAAGTTAATCAATACATATGAGATTTTCAAACTAGGATATCCTTTTTATAACATTTAAACTATTTATGAAGGCATTAAGATTATACAATGAATTAAGTGAATTAAGTGAGCAATTCTTGTATATGTATATGAATATTTGTAGCTGTAATGATTTCGATAAAATGTTGTATTTAGATAATGTTTTACTTTACAATTTATCTAAACAGGTATTATTATCTTTGAGAAAAAACCTAATGCCGAGAAAAATCGATCGCTCCACTAATTTATGGATACTTTTATACATCATCATCTTAATTACAGCCCATTACTAGTCCACTGCTGAACATAGGCTTCCCCAAAAATGCCACAAAACATGGTCCTGAGCCACGTGCATTCATTGACTTCCTGGATTTCTTACTAGGTCGTTACTCTTAGGTTGCGCCCTACACTTCGCGTACCTGTGCCCCTCGTGAACATTTCTTCCTTATCGGTGGTTTGTTTTTCGAGCCCGATGCATAGCTACTTCAGCTTACTGAGCCATAGCGATATCCTCATTGAATCATATGAATAATATGATGTCTATAACGCAGAGAAACTTCGAAGCGAACTTATACGTGGTAGAGCCATGCTGCAGCTATATTAGTAGTATAGTTGTAGCACGGATGGGTCGGCTCGACCGAAGAAGGGCCACGCTCTCACAGAATACCAGCGTAAAATAGCAGCTTAACACTGCTGTGTTTCGTATGGTGAGTGTAGAGAACCAGAGACCCTTTTTACTGTATAAGAGGCATTCCATCTTAGTCCTCACGAGTGACAACGCATCTGCATTTTGATTCGCAAACGAGGATAGATGTAGATGTCTATGGGCCACAGCAATCACTTACCTTCAGGTGGACTGTGTGCTCGTTTATCACTCGATCCTATAAAAAAAGAAGCATAGGAGATTTTTTAAAATAATCATCAATGACCAATTTTTTATAAATTTTTCCATTTCACAAAAAAAAATCTCCAACTTTTTCGGTTAAAATATAGTTAAAATTTATCGATCGCTGGCATTGCTCTCTATAATATGTTTGTGATGTCTCATGTGCTGCCGTTCCGAAGATTGCTCCGGAGAGACAGACAAAAAAGAGATTAACTTCATTCCATACAAGCTTGGGCCCATCGTGAACAAACTTGAAGATTCTACGTGGTAGAGCCATGCTGCAGCTATATTATGGTTGTAGCACGAATGGGTCGGCTCGAACGGGGAAGGACCACGCTCTCACAGAAAACCAGCGTAAAATAGCAGCTTAACGCTGCTGTGTTTCGTATGGTGAGTGTAGAGAACCGGAGACCCTTTTTACTGGCAAAGAGGCATTCCATCTTAGTCCTCACGGGTGACAACGCATCTGCATCTTGAGTCTTTATTGAGGATAGATGTAGATGTCTATGGGTCACAGCAACCACTTACCATCAGGTGGGCTGTGTGCTCGTTTGTCACCCGATCCTATAAAAAAAAAACTTGAAGATTTAAAAATTTGCTACACTACTTATGTCAAAAATTGCATTATAAGACATGAATAAGCAAATGCTAAATTTAATGCAAAATAAAAATACTCTAATGCAAATAAATAAATTATACGCAAATAAACCCCCTCCCCTGAGCTCGATAACAGACAGATAAAAAGCAGATTATTTGAAATATTACAGACAGACACCAGGTACAGTGTTAGTTATATATAAAGTGATCAAAACTTTTTATTTTCAAAACTAAAAAACATGCAGTATAAACCTTTTAAACTTAGCAAATAAAAGTCGTGCAGCAATAATATTACCGTGTAAGTATCGTAAGGGCCGACTATAGAAAATGCCAGAAACATCTTATAGCTTCCGAAAGGTGAAATCTTTATAATGCCGTGTGCTGGAGGTATTTTAAAGGTCGATAAATAACTATTGTGTATTATTAAACATAATCAATTCATATTTGCTAAGTTAAAAATTTTAGTTTGTATTTTGTTTTGTGTTGAATCCGGTGGGGTATAAGAAAATCAAACTACGGAATTTCGGCTGACAATTCGCACGTTCTTTATATCTCGAATGATACCCGGATTGAAATGCCTTCATTAAAAAAAAAACTCCAATATTTTGATATTTTGTACAAAATTAATGTCCGATTTCCATATTTAAAAAATGTTTCGTCCTCCGTTACCGTTATTCATTACAAAAAAAGTCTACAGCGGGACGTCTGTCCTCCACATAGATTGTCTCATAAAAGAGATTTTTGCCATATTTTGAGCATTTGGCAAGCAACTTGGCCACCGCAGTTTTTTATTTTTTGAATTGTTATCAGGGAACGATCTCTTGCTACCTTCTGTTTCATTTCCCTTTGTCACCTCTTGCGATGCCCACAGGATGATATGATATGGGGTAGTGTTTTTTCTAAGTTTTCTCAACGGAGGTTACGTTCCATTTTATTTTTTTATCGAGAATTTCTTTCCAATTATCGTAGTACAAATTACAATGAAACAAGTTTAAGCTGTCATAGTTTTTTGATCAGTTGTTTGTTTTATAAACGATTTTCAAGCACTTCTGAAGAACTCAGCGAAAAACAGAAAAACAATTTTTTGATAAAGTAAGAGGAATAATTGCATTAGAATTTATAAGTTGAGCTTATATTCGAGGTTCGTGTTGTAGCCTCACATTAATTTGCATAACTTGGTTCATGTACGATTTTGAAATTGTACTTGAGAATTAAATTAAAAAATATAAATCATTTTATTTTTCACAAGTAACTGTCATACCGATTCGTATCTAACAGAATTACATAACACAAAAATACGTTTCCGCTTATCGCTCTTTACTACGTTAGGCGTTCTAATTTATACCGTAATTTAAAAACTATAAAATTAAAATTTTAAACTAATCATAAAGTGTCCATAAATAAATAAATTACACTGATTCAGTGTAATTTATTTATTTATGGACATATAGCATATAGCACTCTACTTGAGACGTTGGTCTACATTTGCATTTAAGTATGTTGTTATCTTATTGCTGTGGAGTTTACTATTATTTTTTGTCTTGTAATTCTTTAAATATTACAATATTAAATGAGTAATAGTTATTACAACAAGATTATTACGAGTATAATATGCTGGATCTAAACCTCTTTTATGTTCGAAACTCCTCTCGCACATGAAAGTGTTTAGCTTGGGGAATTAATCGTATATTTTAAAATTGTTAATTAATAATAAAATATTATGTATAAAAATGTATAATGTATATATTGCAATAATATATAATTATTAATTTTAATTTTTTTTAAAAAAATTGTAATTTTAAATCATTTAAATTTCGGACATTCTAATTAGAATGTCAGTCAATAGATGCAGCTGGATCTAGACCGTGTTTTGTGGCATTAATTGGGGGAGGCCTATGTTCGGCAGTGGACTTGCGAAGATATTATGCTGTAATGATGATGATGATGACAAAGAATATTTAAAACTTCCAACGGCAATTACTGATGTGACTTTTCCACCATTTTGTAGGATCAAATAAAGTAAATGTTTGTGGTGAACCGATTTCCATGATTCTTTTTTATTTGAAAGCTGGTGCTTCACATGTGGTCCCATATAAATTTGATTAAGGTCTGACCAATAGTTTTGGAGTTATTCTTAACAATTTATATTGAGGTCGGTTGTACAAAATTTTAAATTTTAAATTATTGTATATACAAAATAATTTCAGTTAAGTCAAAATGATAGATTGCCTATTCAAAACGACTAATGTAATATGTACGATATCATACTATTATTATATAGGTATACTACAATAACGATAAACATTTCATCACAAAAATCTTGCTTTTCTTTCCTTGAGAAGCAGCGGCAAAGTATAAATATTAATTCAAAATTTTAAGACTGCTTTTCGAAGAAGTTGTATAAACATTAAATAAAATATTTAGTCATTTAGGCAATAAGGTTAAACCGGTTCAGTGAAATTAAATTAGTAATGTAATACTGAAATTAATCAAAAAGACAATAACTGGTTTGTAAATGGTACGTGGTAGAGCCCTGCTGCAGCTGTATTAATAGTATAGTTGTAGCACGAATGGGTCGGCTCGACCGAGGAAGGACGTTTCGTTTGGTGAGTGTAGAGAACCGGAGACCTTCCATCTTAGTTCTCACGTCTATGGGCCACAGCAACCACTTACTATCAGGTGGACTGTGTGCTCGTTTGTCAACCTTATTCTAAAAATAAAACTGTATCCAGAAATAATTCTAATTTAAAAAACATCCCCTCTTACTTTACCCTTGCTCCTAAGGAACACTCTCATACTTTTCGCAGGACAGAAGTTTTTTTTTCGAACCAGTGGTATCAAAAGGTAAAAAATTACTTTCAATAAGAATTATAGTAGTTTGTCGGGTCGATTATTTTGTATTCATATTATTATTAGTAGTAGAATCTATACTTAGTATAGTTATTTAAAATTAAAAAGATTTTATTTGTCTTTTTCTGCCGACTTCCAAAAAGGAAACGGTACTCAATTCGCCTGTATGTTTTTTTTATGTGTGTTAACTCATAACTTTTTGCTGGGTGAACCGATTTCGATGATTCTTTTTTTATATGAAAGCTTATACTTCTCGTGTAGTCCCATATGAATTTGATCAAGATCAGACCAATAGTTTTGAGTTATTCTTAATAACTTATATTGAAGGCGGCTGTACAAAATTTTTAATTAAAAATTATTGTTTAATTAACAAAATTCGTAAGACGGATTGGCGACCGCCAAACACATGTTACACACCTTAAATACTGTCATTCGTCACTGATAAAAGTATTATTGGTTCTAGTAATATATTCCAGATTAAAAAAAATTGATAACGCTGGATGCAAACTTATTCTTAATATATTCCCAAACTTGCAAATTAACCAGATTCTTTCGTTTTGTTGCTGTTCTTAACCAAGATCCAATACGCAAGCGACAGAGGGGACAAGACAAAGAATTATTTTCTATGCTACCCTTAAAACAACGTAGGCAAAAATCATGATAACAAGGTAATGTAACGGGTTCTACAAGAATAGACTGACAAATTGAACAAAGCACATCACTAATCTCTAATTTTTCCAATATTAATAATTTATTATCAATTTTAGACAGCCGCTTCTTTGACTTCGCCGCCATTTTTGACATTATTTATCAACCATAAAAAAGCGTAAACCATAAACCGTATTAGCGATGGTTGTAAATCGATGTACTCGTATTAGAAACACGCGATCTATACATAATAACGATGTCAATGCATCGAAATCAACCGTTGTTTTTTTTAACGCTTTGATGTATTCGATGTATCAATGTTTTTTAAAAAAAATCTATATTATGACAAAATCCGCCTTACTGTGGCAATTGGTCTATGTTCAGCAGTGGACTTTTACACGCTGTAATAGGTAGATGGAAATTTAAGAAAATCCATCCATTTTATCTCATGTGGTAATAGAACTCAATGATTTGATATATCACTATATTATTAAAGTGGAAACTTGTCCAAAAAAGAGCATTGCCAATCTAGTGGATACCTTCTCAAAGTGCATATCCTAACCAATAACCCTTTCGATGAGCAGCATCAAAGGTCAGAATCGAGGAGTGCTGCGATCATCAAAGATGGCTATTTCCAAATCCTCCTAGTGTGTGAGAGGTCTTAGTGCAACATAATATACGTTAACATACGTTTTAAAGTCAACAAAAAAAGTTGCGGGCACAACCTGTACAAAAGAATTACTCAATAAAGAGATCATTTAAAGGCAATGATACTATATATAAAAAGAGGTTTAAAGGGTACGCTATAAATCACCATTAATGCAATCACAATAAAATTGTTAATATTATTTGCTTACTTTTGAATGGTGGTGCGTTTTACCTTTCCACCTCACTTTAATGGTTTCCTTATTGTTACCATATGTCTTAATCGGAATGAAGCGATAACTGAGTAATAAGTATTACGAGTAAAATCTCTTCGAAATATTCTTCATATAGGATATCATTATTGTTGAATACTGTTTCTTTTTAAAATGAGAGAATGAATAGTTATGAAAGAGAGAAATGAAAGAACGAAAAAGAATCCTAGGCCAATATCAAAAAGTTCTGGAAACTCGTTAGAACTACCCAGGGAAAGACTAAACAGCCTAGATTCCATGTTGTGCGAGTCGAGAATGACTTTATATTGAATGACGAAGCGAGATGGAAAAAAATGGTGAATTGATGTAAACATTTTCTATTCACAGGATTACGGAAAAGCTTTTTGCTTCAATAACAGACAGTTTTAAGTGCATTTTTAGTTTTGGAACATGATTATGACATAATGGATAGGGTTGCTTCATGGCAAAAGCTGGCCTACTTGCATTAAAAACTCTTTATAGGAACGTTTACTCTCTGGTGTCCGGATCAACGAGACCTATATAGACTGGTTTGCTATCAAAAAATTTGTTAAACAGGGTTATGTTGCTTCTGGATAGTTGTTTGAAAACTTCCCAAGTTGAAGAATGAATGTTTGGGTGAGACAGAGCCATTACATGCCTCTTGAACACCGAGGATCAAGTCATAATTGCGTCGTCGGCTGACGAGTTGCAATTGATGGTTACAATAATGAACATTATAATTGAAAGTAAGGGGAATAAAACTGAACGTAAGTAACACAAAAGTGATAGTTTTTGTAAAAAAAAGAAAGTATAACGAAATGTAAAAAAATATAAGTTGAGTTAGTTGAGTAAGTGGAAGAATTTGTGTAAGATGTTTGTTTAGTAGTAATGGTAAATATGACAAGGATATAGAATGAAGAGTGAGTGCCGGGCACAGAGTAAATGGGGCTCTTCACTCTATTATTGTGGGAAGACGTAATGTGTCAAAATAGGCACGTATGACAATTCACAACGTTAAGATAGCTCCTATCTTAATGTATGGTAGCAAAGTGAATAGTGTATAAGAAATTGTGATTTAAGAAAGGAAACCTTCGGTGGTTTGGAGACGTAGAAAGAAGAAATGAGAAATTAGAGCTCCAAGGTTCCATAGAACTAAAAAAAAAATGAAGTTAAGTTAAAGCCCATATACGCCCCACTGCTGGGCACAGGCCACTTCTCACAGGCTCATTTCTGAGAGGCTTTTACCTACATATTTTATATAAATTTCAACTTGATGCCTCCACGCGTTCCTGAGAAAAAGAAGATAGTCAAGACCCGACAGACAGACGGACCGACGGACATTGAAATGATCCTATAAGGGTTCCGTTTTTTTCTTTTGAGGTACGGAACCCTAAAAAGGTTAATAAATAACAAAAATGGACTATACACTATGAAATAATGAATTCAAATATTTGCTGTAAAAATTAAATCATACTTCAGAAAAAAACTCTTTCTGACCGAGGTAACTCGCCTTGTAAGGTACTTCGACGAGCGATTCCTCACCTCAAATAAGGAACACCTCGTGAGTACCTCGCGACATAAAATGAGGTACTCCCTCAAACTCAAATAAAATAGATGAATAAATGATAGATATGAATAAATGATAGATAGATGAATAAAATTACCAACTTAGTCATCTGACTAAGTTGGCCCAACAGTGCTCTATGGTCTGGCCAAGGTCAATAATATATTTTTGCAGAACAATTATTTTTAAATGTTATTTATAAGAATTTACGAGCCATAACAAAGCGGTACTTTTAGCTAGTTATTTTTTCATTTTACCTCTTAACGGCAACATACACAGAACACACCATGTCTCTTTTTCTGCATATTTGCGCCACACACCTTTCGAAGGATAAGTCTCATTCCTTTCCTTTTATAATAAATACTAAATAAAGTACAACTTTCGATGCTTAAAATATTTAGGTAGCATAGTGTGTTTCCCAATAAACCTCTAAAAAAGGAAAGACAAAGCCCTGATCTTATGTACTTCCGAAATCGGATACTAAGTAGCCTACATGTTGTCCAGGGTCGTTAATTGCCTACATATCAAACTTCACGGATAAACTTTTCATTCTTGAGTTATTGCTACTTCTGCATGAGTGTCTAAAATAGACATCATATAGTAATATAGAGTCAAACCGCAGTCACCATTGTCCTATCGACCATTTCGATGTAAAAGTCATACACTACCGCCTCTAATAGCATCATTTTTCTCAGTACAACTTTGAGCATATCGCTCCCCACGTGTACAGACTCTTTTGTGACCGTCTGCACAAACATGTCCTACACTCATCTGTAAACAATACGACGTTCAGTTCAAAAAAAGCAAATGGGTCATTTACTGCTACTTCTTCTTATGATTTGTGTACGTATGGATAGTTCATGCACTAAATTAGCTCACGTTTGAGTTTTAGTTCACATTAACAATGATTTCGCAAAGAAGTTGTCACTTGTCATAATAAACAAAAGTCTGATAATAAAACATTAACTTGTACCTTTGTATTATTACTGTTGCCAAGTAATATTCTGGAACTGGTTTTCGTAATCCCAGTAGAACTGAGGCAATAATTTTCTACAGCAATTGATACAAATAATTTAAGACTTGATTCCACCCTTGTAACGACTTGGGACATGCATTTCCTTCCCTTCTATCAAATCCTGATTACTGAGACTGTTCTGCAGCTTGCGGCTTAAGGCGGCCTCTTCGTTTGTGTAACATAGTGCATTCATCCCACACCATCATCTTGCACTACTGAAAGAGAGAGCAGCGGCCGCTACTGTTGCTAATGTTGTATGTTGGCTTCTTCTTCGCTCACAAGTTGCAATTTGAACGCTGTTAGATAGACGACGAATTAAAACGTATTCCATGTTTATATTTTGCAGAATGCCAGGAAATCGCTATAAAAATTTTCAGCAAAATCCGTTTAGCCATTTTTAATGTGAAGAGGTATAGAGGAGGATGGATATTCGTAGAATTACGCTAAATGCTAAACATCTATCCTACAGGAACCATACATTTTCCGGGAGAAAACTATTCGAAGACCTAACAAATCTTCATACTTAATTTTACCAAATTCTGTTCATAATTGCGCTCTAGATCTATCCCACAGGAATCGAGCACTTTTCCCGGACAAAAATATTTCAATCCGTTGTGATGTTGCTGCGTGAAAGAAGGACAAACCAACAAACACACTTTCGCATTAATATTATATTTGTGGGAATTCAATTAATAATGATTTTGCATAAACTATTTACCGAGAACATCTTGTGACATTTTGCTTCATTGTAAAAATAATACAATAAGGAGTAGTAACGCTGTCAATATATAGAAAATTGTATAAATTAACTTTGCTTGCATTGGACATTGCAAAAACTATATAAAAATCTTATTGCATCTTGAAGGAATGCGCCAACTGTGCTCGCTTGAAGGTGGCATAATATTAACGTAAAATTAAAACACATTTATTTATTACCTATAATCAACGTGATGAATAAATAGTCTGTACAATTCATATATGTAAAAGGCATCCACGAAACGAGACGTTTGATGTTTAAAAGGTAGTTGGTTATTTTATTTTTACGACAAACTTTGAATTTTTGAGAAAAAAATCTATAAATCAAGCTATATTTCCAAGCCACTTTAGCTTCCTGATTCTGCGTATATTCCCATTACGAAGTCTATCATGCACAGAAACTCCAAGCATAGCCCCTTGAGCCTTGAGTTTTCCCAAATGGGCAGCAGTGGTAGACCACGTCTTAAATTCATATATCATCGCTGGCAACACGCGCTAGTTAATGTGAGAATGAGTTTTTGTTTTCAATTAAAGAAGTTAAGGTATATGAAACACCATACGAAACACAGCAGTTTAATGCTGCTGTGTTTCGTACGGTGAGTGTAGAGAACCGGAGACCCTGTTTACTGAAAATGAGGCATTCTATCTTAGTCCTCACGGGTGACAACGCATCTGCAGTTTGATTCGCAAGCAAGGATAGATGTAGATATGTAACAACCACTTACCATCAGGTGAACTGTGCGCTCGCTTGTAACCTTTATTCTATAAAAAAAATGCGTAGTTTATTCTGAAGAATATACTAAATCCTCCATGCCTTTCAAACTCATACACAAGAGCTCATAGCCATACATGAGTTATAAATAGGTCTTTTGTATGTCTGTAAAAATAATGTTTAATTTATTATTCAAAGGTAAAAAATCTCGCTAATTATAACAAGAAATTT